TTCGGTTCAGCTGTGTGCTTCGGTTGCTGTACGGGCTATAGTGAATAGCCCGTACAGCAGCCCTGCAGTTCGGCTGAACCGAAGAATTCATGCAGCCAAAGTGAGCCGAGGGATTAGCAAAATGTTCGGATTAATCCGTCGGGAGCTTAGTGAATAACCTCCAATATGTTACTCCAATGAAAGGCAGTGGGACTCCATCTTAGATTTACAGCCATTTGTGCTGCAAAGGTCTCTGGCGTCTATAATATTTTATTGTGTTGTGTTTTCTGTGCTTGGTATTGAGAGACAGTCAAGGCACAGGAGGCATGCCTAAAAATCTGAATATTCAATATCTAACAGAAGTAGGATGGTTTCTGTCATACCTCTAGCTAACAATTACAACAAACATTATATACATGAATCTGTTATGGTACAGCTTAGTGTTCACTGCAAAAAGTTAAAACAAACACATATACTGTAAAAGAAAATTATAAAAATTAGAGCTGCAACAACTCATTGATCAACGATTCTCATTATCGATTAGTTGATTGTTCAATTAGTTGTTTCATGGGCTCTGTGTTCCCTCAGATCTCCACTGCTCCCAGCGGGGATGGGGTGGACACAGACCCCTGCAGCCATTGCTCAGCGGTGAGGAGAGCTCCAAAACCCACTCACCCACCCCTGCTGCTGCTGCTCTACTATGCTATTCCCCGCTGGGACCCCTGCATGCTGTGGTCTGTGTCTGCAGCCAGCACCCAGTGGGGAGGAGAACAGGATAGTAGATCATGCACATCTCTTGAGCTGCACAAGCAGGTACACCAGTCTGTTTATTTTGATAGTTGAAACACGGTTACCTTTCATGATTGTTTATGTTTATTATTTGAATTATATGGCTGGAATGTGACGTCATACTAACGTCATAGGAAGTTGGGGGCAGATCTCTGTTTTTCATTGGGTCATTAGGTTAATTGTATGTCTATATATTGTATGTGTATTACTGCACCTGTGTCACACTGTGTCTGATGAAGGAGACCCTGCTTGGCCCCAAAACGTTGTGCTTCAATGTGACAATATGCGTCAATAAAGGATGAACACTTGACCAAATTGTTTGGTGTGCTGGTGACATTCTGTTTTATAGCAGGGAGGAGAGACCGCTGTGCCTCTGCATTCCCCCTTTGCAGTCCTGGTGCCTCCGCTGTTCTTCTCCATGTCCCTGCTGCTCCCCGGTGTTTTTCCGCTGGTCATCCCCGCTGCTCCTACACCTGTGCCCTCTGCTTCTCCCTGAGTCCCTGGTGCTCCTCCCCATGTCCCTGCTGCTCATTCCTGTGTCCCTGCTGCTCGTTCCCACTTATGGCTCGCTCCCATCCATTGGCAGGGAACAATAGCCAGCGTGATATTGACTATTTTAAATTGCAGTAGCCAATAGCAGACTGGCTATTGCACCTTCCCACTGGCTGCTGTCAATCAGCAGAGGAGGACCTGAAGGAGAACTTTCTCCTTCAGTTCCCTCCTCTGCTGATTGACAACAGGCAGTGGGTGGGTGCAAAAGCCAGCCTGCTATTGGCTATTGCAATTTAAAATAGCCAATAGCAGGCTAGCTATTGTTCCCAGCCATTTTTTATTTTTTTTATCTGATTAATCGGAAAAAAAATCGGCCAACTGATTAATTATGAAAAAAATCGTTAGTTGCAGCTCTAATAGAAATACTGACTGTAGCTTGCCTTTAATGCATAAATGTTTTAGATGCTTGAAAAATCTGCATTTGGCTTTGTTGCCTGTAATGTTGAAGTCAGACATACACATATCTTTTATATATAACAGCAATGATACATTTAAAAAACAAAACAGTATTTTTTGTCTGTGGAGAGAACCGCATATGAACAAAGTGTGGTTAAATGTAAAAAATACTTTTTAAAACTGCAGTTTGGGAATACAGCTTTCCTACAAACAGCAAATGTAGAATTCTAGCATCACATGATCTGAACTGTTCTCATAATCTTTTAACTTGTGAATTGAGTTTCTTCCAAAATACTCTAGGGGTTGTCTGCTCCCAGAAACGATTTATCTCTTACAGAGGCTCAGTTACAGTATTGCTAATGTTATTATCACTGGGTATAACAAGTTAATAGCCATGCCTGGCACCATGAAATCCTAATGTTGCATCATATCTGCGGGCAATGAATTTAGCTACTAAGTAGCTGTTGTCTACAACAAGTAAAACACAAACTAGTCTTTGTGCAACAGTGGGAAACTGGATTAGTTGTTTTTTACACAGTAATTTGGCTCCCTGGCGTTTTGGGCACAGAGGCTTTGGTGCACTGTATGCTGATTTTACAGCATAATTTCAGTGTTACTGGTGTGATTATACAATGACTGTCTTTTTTCTCTTTGGTTAAATCAGTTCTTATTAATTTAATAAACATACAAAAAGATTCACATATCAATTTACAACACTCTATACAATGTCAGGTCATACTTAAGGAGAAGGGCAATTTCCAGAAATCAGTATTAAGGTCAACACATCTTCATAAGCTCTGCTCTATCTCATTACAACATCCATAGGCGGTATACGATATTAACATCCAAAATATATAGAAACCCAATCATAAACCTCACTGAGTATACCCACTCACCTCACCTCAAATTATTTACAATGACTACAGCCTGTCTCATCCATCCTCCCATATACCGTATCTAATATCCTGGCATCAGCCCATCATTTACTCACCCCAACTCCAGTAGACAAAAGACTAATAGACCATGGGAAAAAACCTCCCAGGCAGGCAAAGAAACAGACACCTAGATCGGGCGTATATGTCCAAGCCCTTCCTTCAGAGCACTATGACCCATACTTATTTTTTGTTTATCTAGATATGTTCAATATCTAGATATTGATATTTCTATTGGTTCTCCCCAAGAATTATATCCAGGTGCTTCATGTATCTATAAATATCAGATATCTATACTTCCATCTAGCTGATTTTTCTTCCATCCACATGAGATAACCAACTTCAGCCATCCAGTCTTCAACCTGGGGTACCACAATTGTCTAGGTATAAGAGTGCGGCTGACAGAGTGAAAATCTCAGCAGGCCTCGTTTTCCTCCATCAAAAAGGCCTGAGATCATTGACAGTAAGGCAATTTATACAAAGACTGTCATGACAATCCTTTTTCCCGTGATAATTATTAGGTTAAATCTGAACTTGGGGCAGATACTGAATATAAAACACAAAGAATGCAGCTATGTAATTATTAATATATCATTAAATTTATTTTTTAAATGCAAGTAGTTTAAGTACCTGAATCTGACTCTGTATCAGCCTCTTGCAGTCCTGTAGACTATGCAGAACAAAGTACTGCGAGGGTAATCTCTGTATTGAAGGTAGTTATTGCAGCAAAAACTGTTTTTGTTATTTTATCTTTTAATTGATTACTAATTTTTTTTTGGGCTGGAGTCCTGCTTTAAAGGTAGTCATACATTGGCCCCCCCTTTTCCTGTTCGAAGTCAATTTTTCAGTCGACTTTTGGTGAAGGAGGAGGTCCAAAAATTCTGGGCTGAACAGCGACTGCAACAGCAATGACAATCAGCTGAAGTCACTGTTCAGATATCAGATACAATAGCCAGGCCCTCTACAGTGCTGAACAGCCTAAGGACTCATGCACACAGACATATTGCAGAGCAAATACAGGTGTATTTTCATACAGCGTAAAATATGGCTGAATTTGAGATGCCCGGGAGTCACAGCTGCTGCAGTTAGACAACTGTTTGGACAGAAAACCCTGTACTTTGGTGTATGCTGGCAACTCCTGCAACCAGCGTTTGCAAATGCATGGGGTAAGTTTCTCAACACGGAAGTTTTGTGTTCGGAAACTTACCCCTGTGTGCTTGCAAACTAAGATTGTGCGGGGTTTTCTGTGCATACATTGTTATGGAAAGAAAACCACAGCAGCTGTGGCTCCCACTGCCCTGCATATTCAGACGTATTTTATCCTGTAAGAAAATTTGCCTATATCTGCTCTGCAATACACCTGTGTGCATGAGCCCTAAGACTTAGGGGTCTATTCACAAAGCTGCCGAAGGATCTGGCCGTAGCTTCGGCTAGCTTCGGCACCAGGACCCCTTCGGTTCAGGAGAACCGAATAGCTTTATGAGGTTATGTTAAGGGACAGCTTTATTCTCCTGAATCATTGTATAACTGCAAGATTGGTTGCTTTGACAGAGCTGGGATAAAGCTTTAAGAAGAACCAGAAGAGACTTGTGAAGAAAAAAGAACCAGAAGAGACATTAAATAGTTGTATGGTTTTATGCTATGCACACTTCTTTTATCTGTTATAACGAATATAACTTCTGTGAAGGGTACTGGGCAGCGAGGGGATCCTGGAAAAGGGCACCATGGAGCATTTCATAAATGCATATTAGACCAGACTTCATGATAAGTGGTCAAAATAAGATCTGGTGAGTGACCATTCCTAAGGGGGAACACCAATGGTGATTCACACTAGGGATTCTTTTTTTTTTTTGAGCACAGAAGATTCTACTTTTTCTTGGAATTATACATACATATATCTTTTTTTTAATTTTCACATTCGTGTATGTGTTTGGCCACGATGAAGCACAAATTTTGCAGAAGAATTTATAGACTGTGATGATGGTTTACACATGGATTGAGCAAATGCTTTTAAATGCACTGGTTTAACATTTTCGTATTTGGTTTGTAGGTTTATTATGTGTTATATTGTGAGAAAGATATAGGTGTGGTAAGTTCTTTAGACATTAATAGGTGGACAACATTGGCCAAGTGTATGTTATTGATTCCATTCAATGCAGTGCATATTTATAAACATATATACATGTAGATGTACACACATACATATTAATCATATATTATTTTTATAGATACTGTAATATAATCAGCACAGCAGCTTAGCTGATATAGTACTCAATCAGAGGATTTATTTGTGTTTTACATTTGCTTTTATTTCTTTTCTATTGAAAAAACATGCATAAACTTCTTACTTACCCCCAAAATCACCTCCAATGTGGAAGGAGCTGAAACTGTTAAGCTCACATCTAGCACCAAATCATTCTCCACCCTATGTCACAAAGTCTCCAGGGAGAACACCACTTTAACGCTGCAATTTCAGCTACTGTAAGAGAAATTGTAAAACAAGTCTTAGCCCAAAATCTAGCAAATTAAATATTACTTATGCAAAACCATATAAATACAAAGTGAACTATGTAATTAATTAAAATAGCATTTTTGTTATAAATAGCCCCCTAGACCCATGTGTTAAATACAGTATGTGTAGGAATGGATATTGCCAGACATTGTTCCAATGCTCATAAGCTAGCGTTAAGATGCCCTTGGTCCAATTTTGTTTGCAATTTTGCAGCTTACCCATAGATGAAGTGATCAACAACTTAAAAATTGTTTTATTTTTGAGATTTCACAGTTTGAGCTTAGCAGCTGAGATGAAATGTGCATTGCACAAGTGTCACAGTTCAACACATTGCAAAAAGTATTAATAGGAAAGCTGAATTTAGTTTTCTGTGTATTAAGTCCTTAGTCCATTTGTTTAATATACTGTATATTAGTGAAACTAAAATACTTATCTTGGAAGTCCAGATAACTTGGTCTTATATGAAGCTGATGAAAAGGAGTGATAGATTCTTAGTCAATTGTATAAGGTGAGCATTCGGATATCTGCTTATAAAGCCATTTATCTAACACAGTTCATTCCTTAACTGTTCTCTTGGGAAGTGAGGTCAATATCTAAAAGTGAAAGCCAGTAATAATGTAAGCACTGGAAGAGATCTTTTCCTTTTTTAGAACATAAGCCTTTACAAAACCCAAGAAGAGATTATGTTCTTTTAAAGGAAATAGGACTGTATGAATTTTGGAGACAGGACATTTTGAAATATTTTATTTCATCAAGCTGATCCCGTTATTTTAACGCATAGTCTATATGTTAAAGTGGTTCTAAACCCTCCGGTTTTTTTTGGGCTTATATCTACTGCTAGCAAGCAGTAGATATAGGCAAGAAGTGTAAAAAAAAAAACCGCTTGAAATCATTTTAAACTTACCTCGTTATCGCTGCTCGCTCCCGCGCCGAGAATCAGGAACTGCTCGTACGGCCGCAAAGGATCTTGGGGCGGGCGCATGCGCAGTTCCGATTCTCGGCCAGGAGACGAGCAGAGACGCAAGGTAAGTCTATGGACGCGTGCACCCGCATGCAGACACCGCTGGATCGGAGTGACGGCGCACCGCTGGAGGGACACATGAAAACATGGGGAAAGAAGAGGAAGACCAGAATAAGAGACATCATTTAAGGTAAGTGCTAACATTTATATGGGGGGGAGGGAAAACATGTTTTGCCTTTAATATCACTTTAAGTAAAGTGGAGAAAAAAAGAATAATACAAAAGGGGGAGGGGGAAGAGAGTGAAAACAGGAATTTCCAGATTGTGGTGCACAAAGCAAAAAGGCTGTTCATTTTGCAAGGGAATAGCCCTTAGCTTTGTGAATGAGGTGAAAATTCATGGTTATTCCAAAAACGTAGAACCTACATATTGCGATTCCCAAAATAAAGGTGATTGTGATTACAAACCAATAGCCCACTATTTACGAGTATCAATCTACTAACCAGTCAATGGGAATGCAAAAGCAGCTCTACGCCGATTAATAAGTAGCTCTAGGTAGCTTAGAAGGAGGTCGAATGAAAGTCAAATGGAGGTCAAATGCTGGTAAAACAGACCTGTCAGTCAAATGTGAATGTTCTCAGAAGTATCTCAAACTGATGTCAAATGCAAGCAGAATGCATCTGAAATCAAGCTGCATTTGTCTAGTCATGGTGAGAGGAGCTCCAGGTGGGATCCTAATTTAGCTGGCCAGCGACTGCCAGAGGATCCCGACACGCACGGCACCTCTGGCACTCTGGCAGTCGCCGGGGGCGCAAAAATTCAAGTTTGACTGACTGTGTAGGCAAAAATCCTAGCACCGGCCCTGCCAGGGAAACTGATCTCCAGACAGCAAACTCTCCCGGGCGCTCCGGGAGTCTCCCACTCCCGGCCGCCCAGGAGAGAAACACTGCTTTTTCTTCTTTATTCTGACACGGAGCCGTGTCACAATAGAAAAAAAATAAATACTTTTTGCCCATAGGAATGCATTGCTAGATTCCTATTGGCTATTTCAATTTGCAATAGCCACTAGTAAACTAGCATTGCACCCGCCCTCTGCTGCAGTTCTCCATCAGGTCCATCAGCAGAGGGCAGGTACAATGCTAGTTTATTATTGGCTATTGCAAATTGAAATAGCCAATAGGAATCTAGCAATGCATTCCTATGGGCAAGCATTTTCTTTCTATTCTGACACAGCTCCATGTCAGAATAAAGAAAAAAAAAGAAAAAGCAGTGTTTCTCTCCTGGGCGACCGGGAGCGGGAGACTCCCAGAGCACCAAGGAGAGTTTTTTCTTTTCTTTTACGGCAGCAGAACCGCCGGCCAATAGAAAACTGTTGGGCGGAGCTAGCTGTCTTTGCTAGCTCCGCACAATCGTTTTCTATTTATTTGTTTGTACTTTTTTAACTATTTTCCTGTTCTGCTCGGTCCCGCTGACGGACCGAGCAGAACAGCCGAGCCGAGCCAAGCTCAGTGGCATTCGGCTATTCACTCACTGCTATTCGGCATCTATAAGAATAGATCGAACAGCAGCGAGTAGCCTGCCGGAGGTTCGGCTTAGCCGATCCAGATGTTGGATCGGCTGAGTCGAACTCCTCCTGCACTTCGGGTCGGCCGAACATGCTGAACAT